AACTACAGGTACTTCCACTGCAGTACTGCTGTTACTACCATACTGCTTGTACTGCTTCTACTGCCATGACTACTTATATAACTACAAAAAGTACTACTACCACTAATGGAACTGCTATAGCTATTACTATTGTACTTCTACTATTACTGCTAATATTGGGTAGGGTTGTTCCAGGGGGGCGGGGTGTGACTGCAGACCTGCAGATCTCAATGTGGGCGGAGTAAAACGTTTAACCCCGCCCACTCTCCAACATTTGACTCCGCTGTCACCGTGATGCTTCCTGTCCGATCTGGGCGTTTTTGTCTTGTAATCGCGACTTGCAGCTCGAGAGTGACGTCACATCTGTGTTGGAAAACGAATAACCGCGGGTTTTTGCGTTCTGTTTGGCACACAACACGACGAGTCGGAGAAATCTAACCAATTTCAGCTGCACAAGCTACACAATAACTAATTAGGCGGTATTTAACACATAATAAGACTGTAGCGACATGCTTATAGGTAACAGTATACAGTGCTGTGTGTACAACTTCTTCATTTGGTTAAAACAAAGACAAAAGTGCTTAAAATGGTAGAAAACCACAATGTTTACTACGTGTGATGCTCGGAGTAGCCACCTGGGTAACTGAACTCGGGGTTCAGCTTGACGAGTCATATATCCGACCTCGGGGGCGTTCTGTTTGCAACTTCCGGTTTGTAACTCAGGAAACCGACTCGCAGATCGAGTTCGGTGGACAAATAGAACGCCCCACAAGTGTGACTATAATATTGTTCATGTATTTTAGGTGTATCGTTAGGTTATGTGAATTAGCTGCACATGAGCTAATGTTATATCTAAACTAACGTAATACCAATATCAGAGTGCATTCGGTGGTATATGCACTGTAATGAGACTAATCAGAGTACAAGAAAAAAATGTAATGCATAGTCAGTATTTTGTGACTTTGTAATCTTGTTTATGTTTCCATTTAAACACATTGCTCAGTAATGGTTACGAGTATCAGTAATGGGACGCAGCTGTATTGTGGGCTGTCTATCAGCAACTGAGGATTTCAATACACACCTGATCACAAATGTAAAAAATGTTATGTACTGCAACGTTGAACAAAATGCCACTGTAATGGTGGACTGTATACAGATGGCACTGGACACCCAAGATGAAGACCAGCCATGTGCCAAGAGGCCTTACAGCTCTCCACCAAAAGAGTTGGTTAGTGTGAAGGAAGTTTATTGCACACAAACATGTTACACACCATTAAAACCTGCACAAGCAGTCATGCTTTTGTGTATCCATTAACTGTGAAATTACCATGGACCAAGGTATTGGAAGACTGGATGGTGATGCTTCCAAGAACCTTTCGGTCAGTAAAGAAATGACTTTTAAACAATAATTTAATGTTTTGATAGGTAGTTAATCTGTTATTTTGTGAAATGTGTCAATATTGTATTTCATAATCAGTAAAACCAAAGATTAAGTTCATATTCATTATGGTTTCGTATTAAATGAGTTGGACAGTACATTTGGGTGAAGTGGCAAGACTCTCGCCCTTACCCCGAGCAAGCGCTGGAGAGGGAGAAGTTACCTTCCCAGCCTGGTCCGTAGCCACGATGGATGCAGTACCATGCCTTCTGCTCGTCCTCCTGTTCTGGACAAGGATACAAGTAAATACCGCCCTCCAGTGTGACTGTGACCGCTGCAACGCCAACTCCAGCTGCACAACCGATGGCACCTGCTTCGTCGCCATCCGCAAGTCAGGCAGCCGGCTGACCACAGAGCAGACCGGCCCCATCATCTGTGACCCATCTGTCGCTCATAACACAGCTATTTACCCCATGTGCTGTACCACGGACTACTGCAACAAAGAGCCCGACCTGGAAACCTTCCGCGAACCTCCACTGGCTCCCGGTCCCACAATAAATTCAACTCAAAGCCCTCCATAACCAGACCTCTTCCTGCCTCACTGACCTGCTCCACCGCCACAACCCATCCCGAAGCTCATCCTGACTCCACCAACCAGGACCAAGCACCGAACCTGGGGCGACAGAGCCGTTGCTGCCCCCTCTCTCTGGAACTCTGCACCGACCTTACAGCATTCAAATCTCTGACAAAAACTCACCTTCCGTCCGATGTGTTTTTACTATTTTAGGTTGTTTTTATGTAAAGTGTCTTTGAGTATCCAGAAAAGCGCTTACATATAAAAATGTATTATTATTATTACAGCAATACTATGATGTCTATTATTGCTACTGCTTGTATTTCAAGTACCAAAACCTGAAATATTAATAACATCAAAAATACTACTCTTTGCACAATTATAACAGCTATTACTAATAGGACTGCTCTAACCCCACTGGTGGAATATAACCAAGTACACTGACTCAAGTAAATGTGTCTAATGGGTCAGTTTTGAAGTATTTGTACTTTTCTTGAGTATTTCCATGTTATGCTACTTTATACTTCTACTCCACTACAATATGGAAGCCACTATATATTTAGATTATATATACGAAACATAAATTAACTAATAAATTAGGATGTATTATTATGGATTAGGCTACTCAGCATTAGCCTCAAACTATCTATATGTATCTGAAATGAGCTCCACCGTCACCAGCTGCAACATTAAAGTGATGTTCACATTAATGCATTAATAATTATAATCCATTAGGATTCGGAAATGAGTCATTCTACGTAATGAGTACTTTTAATTTTGGTAGTTAAATGACAACATTGCTAATCTGAACAGTGCTGTAAAGTCAGATACATCCAGTAGTGGAGCTCTGTCGATCTGGACCTTTTTCCCTAATTTTTTCTGTAATTTAATAAACTGACGACCCAGTGACATATTTTATTGATATTTCACATTATATTCAAAACTGTACAATGAACCCAAAGAGTGAATACAATAACTTTAAGAAGTTTGTTTAAAAAAGGTGATTAGGATGAATACTTTATATTATGAATTATATTATATTATATTTTTAATCATGTTTAACAACCCTACATAATAAAGGCTTCTATTAGACAGTTTCTTTAACATTTACTTTTCTTCACAGACGTGAACCAAATGCTTAGATATTGGTCTACTGTGTATATTTTTAAAGTTTCCTTACACGCTTTAATATCAAGAAGTCCTCGCGACCTCCCATGAAGCCTCGGTGACCCCTAGTGGGGGTCTTGACCCCTAGGTTGGGAACCACTGGTGTAGCCTACACACACACACTGGCTCGAAATATCATGAAAACTGACTGATTGATGCATCGGTACATATACAACTGTGGGGATATGATCCATGTAGAGGGAATTACCACTGGGAAAATATAATTCAGCTACATTTAAAAAGTGATGTTAGGAGGCGTCGGCTTTTATGGGGATGTATGAGTACTTACACCAGAGAGAGAGAGAGAGAGAGAGAGAGAGAGAGACAGAGAGAGAGAGAGAGAGAAAGAGAGAGAGGGAGGGAGAAAGAGAGAGAGAGAGACAGAGAGAGAGAGAGAGACAGAGAGAGAGAGAGACAGAGAGAGAGGGAGAGAAAGAAAGAGAGATACAGAGAGAGAGAGAAAGAGAGAGAGAGAAAGAAAGACAGAGAGAGAGAGAGAGAGAAAGTGAGAAACAGAGGAGAGAGAGACAGCGAGAGATAGAGAGAGAGAGAAGGAGAAGAGAGAAACAGAGAGAGATAGAGAGAGAGAAAGAAAGAAAGAGAGACAGAGAGAGAAAGAAAGAGAGAGAAAGAAAGAGAGAGAGACAGAGAGAGAAAGAAAGAGAGAGAGTGAAAGAAAGAGAGAGAGAGAGAGAGAGAAAGAAAGAAAGAAAGAAAGAGGGAGAGAGAGAGAGAGAAAGAAAGAAAGAAAGAGAGAGAGAGAGAAAGAAAGAGAGAGAGAGAGAGAGAAAGAAAGAAAGAAAGAGAGAGAGAGAGAATATGTGGGGAGCTTGTGTTTTATGTTGCTGCTTTCATGGAAATTAAAGCATAATAAACTGAAGTGAGAGAGGGGCTGAACACACACAGAGAGAGAGAGAGAGAGAGAGAGAGAGAGAGAGAGAGAGAGAGAGCAAGAGCAAGAGAGCAAGAGAGAGTGAGGGTGTGTGTGTGTGGACACCCTTCTTCTCTCAGACCACTGCTCCTCTGTAACCACACAGCGAACAGTCAATGCTGTTCCTTTATCTCTCTCTCTATCTCTCTCTCTCTCTCTCTATCTCTCTCTTTATATGAAACAGGAGGGAATGACACCCTGCTGACATCGTGTTGTGTTTCCATCTCCTCCGCAAAAGGCGCCGTTGTCTTTCAACAAGAAACCCTCATTTACGTAAGTACAATGACCTTTTTCATGTTCGCCATCCTTCTATCAGCTCCTCCGAACAACATGGCGACACTTCACTTTGGACTAATTCCTCATTCTGGGTGGATTTATCTTTATCGATTGGCGACCACCGCGTCAGGAATCGATACATTATCAAACGCGCTCGATAAATGATTATATAGTCGTGAGCTTTGTTTCTAGTCGGCCTCTGTTTCCAGCGGACCGACGTGACTGTGGTTCGTTCACCGGGTCGTATCCGGAAAGACTACAAGTTCCAGGAGGAGAGGCGATGTTGCGTTTAAACGCTCACGGGAATGTTGTAATAAGGAGTATTCACTTTAAGTGACGACTGTTTTGGAGGCGTTTCTTTGACTTTATAATGTTTATAACGAGGAATACAACCGGAGACCAGGTGTGTAAAGTTAGCTGCGTTTGTTGTTAATGTTACTAGTAAAAATAGTCATATGCGTTGTATTTCTTCAGCATTACCCGGCATGATTGTCCCCTTCTTCAGTGTATCCACACAGCATCCAGTGCTGTTTAATATAAGAGCACACAACTTATTTTAGGTGTAAAGTTGTAGCTTATTCTAGCCGCCCAATCGCAATCAAAGCTATATTTTACTGTAAAACCGGGAAACACGAGTTTAGCCGGTGTATTTGAACGCAGCACATGTTTCCCCGGCGCTTAGCCTTGACGTTTCCGCCTACGTCAAACGCTGGTGCCTCAGAGTCTGTTGATTGTTTTGATTGAAAGCGGCTGAAATCATCGATAATGTTTGCTGCTGATTGAAAGATAAACGATGTCTCTCTCCTCCTCCGAGACAAGTAAGTTAGTGTGAGCTCATTTAATTGGTCATGATTTAAATAATAATAATAATAATAACAATAATAAACATCTGAGTTGTGTTCAGGTTCAATATCTGAAGATTTAAAACAACAGTTCAAGTAAACGTAACGTTATCTGACTGTCAGCTCTTATTTTTGAAATCCACGTTTAAAATTCAAAGTCTTTAAAGTTTTCTTTTGAAAGTAAACTTCACATCAGTTGTCAGCCAGTTTAACTAACTTCTGTTGTTGTTTGTGATTTCACACCAGCTTGTATCTTTAACCCTTTGCTTTCTCTCCCCGGACTCTGTGTGTTTTAATAATGAGTAATAATGTTTTTATATTGTCCATCAACTGATTGTTTCAGCTCTACATGTTGACACTGTTTCCTCTTCATCAACTCCCCTCTAATATCTCCCCTTTCCTCCCCCCAGCCACCCCATGTTCCTCCGCCAGCTGAGCTCCTTTGGCTCCTCCTTCCTTCCTCGCAGCCGTCCCGCTCTCTGCAGGGCCGGCTTCAGGAGCAGCAGTGCCTCCTCCTCCTATCTCCCCCATTTCATCCCCGCTCCTCATCCATGGTGGTCAGTGCGGGGCTTTCCCCCCTGGCCTCCTCGACTCCCCCACTCCCACCCTGCAGCCCACCAGGTCGTCTCTGCTAGGACCTTACACCCTCAGAGCATCAACCCGGCGGACTTCGGCGGTAGGCGTTCGTTCCACACCTCTACCGGCCTCACGATGGAGCGGCCCAACAGAGACAGAGAGCCTCCTCCCAAACGGAGGAAGAGTGCGGAGGAGAACAGGAGCGTCGAAGAAAGGGAGGGACACAGAGGTGCAGCAGCGGGAGGCAGGGATGGAGGCTCCAAGAGGGAGCACCATCACCTGGATTCCCGCGCAGACAGCCGACCTCGATCAAACCACTACTGCAAAGATGGAAGTCGAGACCGAGGGAACACCGCAGCTGGAACAGGCGTCAGTAGGGAAAACAGCAGAGATAGATATGTAGGAAGGACTAGAACTGGGGATAAACACAGACAGCGAAAAGACAGCGCCGGTCGATACGACCCCCAAAATCGAGGG